ATGGAAGTGGCAACGCCGCAATGCTGAAAATATTTTAGATCGATAGAACAGGTAAGGAAATATGAGAGATGAAATTTTCAGAAAAATCATGCTTTGCGTTTTCCAGAAACGTCTAACCTACCATCGACCGTGAGTCACGCTGTATATCCTACACGTTCGTGTCAATATGTCTGTAAATAGATAGGCTCAACACACTAAGAACAGCGATGGATGCATTATTTCCGGAAGGCCTATGCCCGTGTCATTCAACTAGTGGACATCTGATAGCTCAAATTATGAGGATGATACAGTTAAAAATAAAACGTTGGCGGTGGCGGTATTTTTCAGTTTTTGCCTCGCCCAAAAACATTGAAGATCCGGTGCTGCCCTTATTAAGGATAACAGTAATTTTCATTTGTAATTTTGACAATCATTTATTGTATGGAAATACTCAACCAAAATCACAGTACACGAAAAAACATCATTACACACACAAAGTACACATGAAATTCACAGATTGAACAAATAATCATCAGAGTTAAAAAAATATTCGATTAGCGATTTTTCAAATTTCATTATGTTGGTGCACTTGTCTCAACCATTTTTCGAAGTTTCAGCTGTTTAGCATGTTTAGTTTGTTATTGAGATTCATAAAAGTTGAAGTGGTTTGCGTGTTCAGCGATTCTCTGCTACGATGATTATTTTCATAAAAAGACTGTATCTTTAGAAGAAAAGAGAAAAGGGAAGAGAGAAGCTGAGAAGTATGAGGCTGCTGAATTAAAACAAGATAGGAATCAAATAATTAGTTGATACACGAAATAATATAATAAAAACTGAAGATGGTGCTTACCTTGAATAGAGTATAATTTCCAATTATATACAGAGCTTGTTTGGCACGAGTAAGCGCCACATTCAATCTACGCTCATTTTGAAGGAAGTAATTGGTGGTATATCTCACACAGGAGATGATGATTATGTCATTTTCCAGTCCCTGAAAACTGTCGACAGTATTGACAGTGACACAAACTTTGGACGGCATCCTGAAAAAAATGATGTTTCAAATGGAAAGTTCTGTATGGAAAGTAGATGACAAAGCAAAGAACGAAAAATGCTGGAAGTGAAATAATTAGTTAGCAGAGAAAAGGTTGTTTTCTATTACAAGAGGTATCACATAGTAAGTATACAGGAGAATCCGAAACGGTCGATTTCGCGTCGCTCACAAGAATTCGGCCTTTAGCAGTCCACAACTTGACGAATATTGCATCGTTTTATATTGTAGATATAAAACGAACCCACATACAAAATTTAAGCCTCCAAAAATTTATCGGTACGGAGAAAGTGATGAAAAGAGAATTTTTATATGTAAACGCACCCCTTTTACCTCCACAGGCAGGGGGCGCCACCCCAGTTGAAATATTTGAAAACCCTTTTTTAGTGCACATCTAAGACTAAGGCGGGTTGGCTGTCCTTGTTCATCTTTCACTGCCTGAACCACTGTGCATGATGGTTTTGGTGACTGTATTGGCTTGGGATGTGGGGGTTGAGCAAACCGGACATCCGATGCCTGCTTCCAAGTAGCCCCGCTGGATACGGGAATGACAGAATTACTTGTGGTTCTGCTATTCCCTAACTAAATGGCATCCCAACGATGGTGTGTGTATCCGTGCCGAGAGGATGAATGACACTGAGCCTATCAGCTGTCTCTACGGAACCTTCGAGATACCAGGCGCCCTCTCGTCGTAGCATCGCCTTGTCATAGTAATGCGGAGCTCTGCCGTGTTTGTCCTTCATTCCCTAGCTACTCGTGGGACTTTTATGGACAGAGTAAACTTAAAAATTCTTTCTGACGCTGAATCTATAGAGGAGATAGATGTCGAGCTTACGACTCCAACTGACCTCTCTGTAAATTTAGATCAGGAACGAGTCTACAGAGGAGATGGATGTCAGGTTTACGACTCCAACTGACCTTCCTGTAAATTTAGTTCGGAAGCGAGTGTACAGAGGAGATGGATGTCGAATTTATAACTCCAACTGACCTCCCTGTAAATTTAGTTCAGGAGTGAGAGCTTCTCAATTCCCCAACTCCTGATCCAATAACGGAACCTAAAAAAAAGTTTTGGCGGTGCAGCCAGGAAACGACTGAATCGTCTCCTCAAGAGTAGGGTACCTTATAAAACCGTGTTGCACCAAATTCTTGAGCGGCGTACGCAGAATCTGTCTCAAGTGGAGGAACAAACCCCCTATGAGCAGGTTAGCAAACGTTTGCGCTCAAATGATGATTCACCACAGCTCTGCAGTCGTAGCTGACGTGCAAAAACCCTCGTATAGGAAGGTTGTCGTGGGTATCAAGGTGGAAATCTTGCACCTTGACTATCTGACTACCTCATTAACGATGAAACAGCAGAGCATATACGTTGAGCCTGCCCCGCTGGGGACCGAATCAGGTTTTTAGAGTTCGGCAAAGCCGAACTAATCGGCTCTGCCGAACTCTAATCGGCTTCGTTAAGAAGCTGGGTTTATTTGGTTGAGTGTGAATAGGTGTGAGCCACAATAAACCCTTGCTGGTTGCGGTGGAAGGTCGAATAGACCCACTCACTTTGGACCTAACCTAACCTAGTAAGTAGCAGAATTATTCGCAAAATCAATTGTCAAGGTCGCCATAATCTAATAACCATAACATATTACATCTATCACTTCAGTGATAAATTTGATAGATTTTCTAAAAATCATAGTTCTCTTTGGGTTTCAACATTTTATAACTTTTCTTCATCAATGCTAATACTGAATACCCATATATGATTATTGAGATGGTATTAAAGAGGTAATAAATCATTTAAAAATATATGAAGTATATTTGTAAATGAAATTGTCATTTTTAAAAGTAGGAAAACAGAAAAAAATTGTAACAAGTCAACCACAAAAACGAATCAATACAACAAATATTGGTGACTTTAATATTTTATTGTTACCATTTGACAATGATAGTCTTAATGAACGCACTGTTTGACGTTGATTTGTCAAATTTTCTTTCGGAGATTTTAGTGGATTCTCTATCTACGACAACAGGAGACGTTCAGGACAGTGATTGGACACCGATGAATCACCCAGCACTTCCCAAAGACGAACACCCACCAGAAAAAGATTATGGTTACTTTATGGTGGTCAGCAGCTGGTGTAATTCACTATAACTTTCTGCAACCCTCCTAAACCATTACAGCAGAATCCTATTGTGAGGAAATCGACAAAATGTACTGAAATACTGCGTAAGCAGCAGCCATCACTGGTCAGCAGAAGAGTTCCGATCCTGCTCCACGACAACGCCCGTCCGTCATCCGAAAATTGAACGAATTGAGTGTCAGAGTTCTGCCTCACCCACTTTACTCCCCAGACCTTTCACCAACCGACTGCCATCTTTTTATGCAATTCGATAACTTTCTCATCGGTAGAGCCTTCGCCAATCAGGACCAGGCAAAAAACGGCCTTCATCGACTTCATCGAATCCCCAGCACACAATTTTTATACTGACGGAATTACGCGACTTGAGTTATATTGGCAAAAAGTGCACTGATTCAAATGGCGCTCATTTCAATCAAATTGGATAAGTATTCACCGAAATATTACAGTTTAAAGTAGACTCATAAAAACGGACAAATCTTTTGAAACAACCTAATCCATACCAAATATCTCACCTTATATTAGATATTTCACGGGAAACCATCTCTTTTTGCGCCTTGTAGGGAGTAATGATGCCAACTGTATATTCACAATCAGAGTTCACGATTGACTTCAATGTTTTCAGAAGAACGCCAATCATTTGAACTTCATCGGAATTAACATAATCAGATGTATCTCTGCTTTCGTTTCGGGTCAGATTGAAAATCAAATATGGTTTGAGATCAGGTTTTATTGGATTGTGTATCACCGGATAGGATCTCAACTTTCCCTCATAAAAAGTTCTGTTTGGATAATAACATATTTCGCTCTTCATGCGATATTGATGAGTGAGCATTTGTACTGGGGAATTTCTTTTATTTTTTAAATTATCATCAATGCGTGAAAACAATGAATTTCCATAACCCAACTTCTGGGCTTCCTGAAAAAGATAAATATGATTATCAATAAACCCTTGTTTAGGCAACAAAAAATCCTTGATATGGCATATTTATATCAAACAAACGAATAATTAGAAATATAACGTTAATATTATGCTTATACGTTCAATGATTACCTAATTACCTAATGCAATTAAAAATAGCCCATCTCTGAACATGTTAAAAAATGAACTGAAGAAATTTGTTTTAAATGTACAAATATGATATGTATTATGTCTTTGTTACCTGTAGCTGTAATTTGTATAATTCCATTCATCTAATGTTCGCTATATATTTCAAATAATTATGTAATTTATCTTTCTACATGTTGCATTGAAATTTTTCGAATGTATAATGTTGCTGTTTTTGTAGTAATGTCTTTAAAAATATTTTATTGAACTTATGTTTGTCATACATTCAAGTCATTTCTATATGTAACACATACCTTTTTTTTATTTCTACCATTCTAGTTGATTTGTATATTATTAGGATATCCTAGTTAAATAAAGATCTATCTATCTATAAATAAAATTTTATGTAAACTTACTTTATTGCAGACAACGGCAGGCAACTGTTGTGGATCACCAACCAGAACAAATCTATCAATTCCTACTTGTATTGGAATCAAAGATTCGATTTCGTTACATTGAGTAGCTTCATCAATAATACAACAAGTGAACTTCAACAATCCTCTACAAATGATGAAAACATATCAATCATATCAATAAATCACTGTAGGGAAAATATACCGGGTGACGCAGAGTCATGGTACACCCCCGTTTTCCTTTATTTCTCAAGCTATTTTTACGAAACAATGAAACACCCTGTATACTATTGCATTTTTGAAATCTGTATAATTTTCTGAATTCGATGATAACCTATTGTTGATATTTGAATTATGGATTGCAACAGATGTTCTGCCAGTGGCCAGCAAGATCACCCGACTTAACCCCTTTACACCTCTTATAGGTCTTAGCGGGTTATCGAGAAAGTTGCTTTGAAACAATGAAACAACTTTTGGGTTTTTGATGAACTATTATCATTAGTTAGTTACTGAGTACAGTGTTGTAGATCATATTAATAACCAAAATAAGTTGAAAATGCCTCTTCATGTGAATCTGGGCCTATCCGTATAAGCTTCAAATTTTTCTTCTGGGTTTCTAAAAAACAAACAAATGTATTTTCATTACATGAAGGATAGATGGCAATCTTATAACATACATAACTTCACCGAGCTAAAGGCCTAAGAAACCGTATTTTGAGGTAATATTTGCGCGAACTTTTACATAAGCTCTTAACGATTTGCACGCGGAAAGATCAGGAAAACAACCTCTTTGAGAAGATTTCGTAACACAGAACACTACCAACTTGGATGTTGCACGGTGAGTAACCACATGCAAATCAATGGCATAATCACAGAGGTTCCTAGGCAGGTTGATATCTCTGTCCTGGACCAAACAGTTGCAGAACCAGGGCATAACCTAAAAGTGTTTCTGAACCACCTATGAACCTACAGCTATCTATCTGCCTTCAGTCTTTTCTTCTCTCAGAGGATTCAATCCTCTCTACTCGGGATTAGGAGGGTATAAGGCAGGTCGTAATCGACAGTTGAAGGCATCAAGATGTGGAAAGGAGGTAGGTCTAGAAAGATTTCTACCTCTCTAAAACCCAGAGAGTTCTGCCTGAGCTGTCTGCTGCCAAGCTTTCACCACCAGGCAATTGCTCTATATAGGAACATTGGCTTTCACGGCCAGAGTCACGATTAAAGAGAACAAAATCCGGGTTGGTTTACTGCGGCAGACATTAAAAGCAGTATGTGCGTTGACTACCAGGACAAAGGTTAGCCGTTGCTGATACTTCAAGGTATAACCTTTGTCTTCGCAATCAACGCACATACTACTGATGATGTCTGCCACAGTACATCGTCAAATGCTCCTTCAATAAAAACAAATTCTGCCACCACGATCTCTTTACGATTGAAGGAGATTAGGTGATTTGTTCTACAAATTTATGTAATGCTAAATCTGTCGATTAGCCCCTTTGATGAAAGCATACCGGCAGTTGTTCAGGGGCATACAAATAAACTGTTCCTCCTGATATGTCCATCCAGTGTCTTCTCAAGTTCTTTCATTAGGAAAAATGTTAGGCTAGGTTAGGTTAGGTCTAAAGTGAGTGGGTCTATTCGACCCTCCAGCGTAACCCGCAAGAGTTTATTTTGGCACACATATATTCACACTTGGCCAAATAAACCCAGCTTCTTAACGAAGCCGATTAGTTTGTATGGTGAGTGGTCTTTCAAGTCAGATGGTAAGAGTACGGATCTGCCGAACTCTAAGAACCTGATTCGGTCCCCAGCGGGGCAGGCACAAAGTATATGCTCTGCTCTTTCATCATTTTCCAAACAGAGGCGACACACACTGTCTTCCGACAGTCCAAGTCTCTGCATATGATGATTCAAATGACGGTGACCAGTAAGAAGGCCTGTTAGACATCGTAGTTCATCCCTACTGTAGTCCAACAACTGTTTGGTATCAAGATTCTAAGGGTGGATAAACGCCTTGGAGTGAGCCAATCCTGGAAGATTCTGCCAGAAGTCCATACATCTTCTTGCCATCCAGGTGTTCAATGTTTGCTTGGCAAAGCCCAAAGCGATGCCAATGACAGGTTCTGGTCCGATGAAGCCGCTTGCAGCACCCTCCTTTGCGAGAGAGTCAGCAGTTTCATTACCTTCCAGGCCAGTATGGCCAGGAATCCAGACCAGAGACAATCTGTTAAGTCTTCCTATCGAGGAGAGTCGTTTTTGGCAATTTGCTACCAATTTAGACATTGCTCGGTAGGAGCCAAGAGCTTCCAACGCCGCTTGACTGTCCGAGAATATTTTTATTGACTTGTGTGTGAGGTTGGATTTATCCAATCTATCCGCACACAATTCAATAGCGTGAATTTCCGCTTGAAATACAGTCGCATAAGTTCCTAGGCATGTAGATATCTCTGTCCTGGGTCTGCGACTAAAAACACCTGCACCAGAACTGAAAGGTGTTTTTGATTCATCTGTGAACCAACAACTATCTGCTCTTAATATTTCCTTCTCCCGGAGGATCCAGTCCTCTCTACTCGGGAATAGTACTTTATAAGGCAGTTCGTAGTTGACAGTTGGAGGCATAAAGTCAGAGGTCATTACCA